TTGGGGGTTAAGGGGTTTAGGGTCTTTAGGGTCAGGCTTTTTAGGGGTTTAGGGGTTCAGGGTTTAGGGGTTGAGGTATTTCGGGTTGTAGCTATCACTATTGGATTGTATTTGGTGAGGCGGGAGGCTACATTGAGACTTTGGTGGAGATGATTTTGGGAGTCCAGCATCCAAGGTCTACAGTCCCCCTTAAGTAGATAGAATATGGCTTTGGGTATATTATAATAAGATCCCCATATACCCTTATTCTATCTACTTAGGGGGGACTATGGGGTGATGGGGTGCGAGGCTTTCGTCAAAGAGTCTGAGGCCTAGGGCTTCGGAAAATGATGAGGACTCCTTTGTGTTGGGTCTGTGTAGGAAATAGAGCCTACTAGTCAGGGACTCTCTTGTGGCATTTTTGCTGCTCAACCCTAAAGCCTTCAGCGCTATGTGGAGAGCACTGAAGCTAACATCGACCCTAAACTCAGCTTGCCGAGTTATCACGCCGGAGTACTTCCGCTTCCCTGGCTTTCTGTCGTACCGCCCCAAGAATTGAGTGGGCGTTGTGGGTTCTCTCACAGTGTTAAAGGGACTTGCTCATATTAGCGATCAAAGTAGAAGTAGAGGTAGATGTAGCAGTAGCGAGTAGGAAGAAAACTAGAAGTGCTCGTCACCGTCGTCGTAGTCGTGGTCGTAATCAGCAGTAGCCGCAGTAGCGGCAGCGGTAGTGGTTGCGGTAGCAGTTCCAGCGGCAGTACGTAGCAGCAATAGTAATAGTACTAGTGCTATGTAATTGCAAGTGAAGTAGCAATGTTAGTCAGAAGCACATCTATAACAAAAAACCATTCAGTAAGGTTTATAGCGATCTACTTTGAGAACAGGAAAGCAGGGATGAGCAGAGACCGAAAGCCAAGTGCGCAAGTCTGGTTGTCAATATGGGGGATTCCCGAAGTTAGGGGTACCTTTCATGGGCTTTATAGGGGTTGTCTAGGGATGATGGAAAAGAAACTGCAAACTGCTATTTAGGGTTTGGGGATTCCCAAAATTAGGAATACCATTTTTGGGGGTGCCCATAAAAAGGATGAGAGTACATTGGGGGTCCACCTTGGGGTCCCCTTATTTTGGGAAACTGCCATATTTCTTGCTTTTATTTTTTGTTCCTGACATGTTCAACCAGTTCAAGTATACAACAAAAATCGGGAAGACCTCTGGTTTAGAAGCTTGTTGGTTCAAGGGTTCACGGTATGTAGGGGTTTCCCAAAATTGGGGTACTCTTTTGGGAGGTCTCTATAATAAGGATTATACTTATAATATACTAGGGTCCCCTTATATTGGGAAACTACCATATGTGGTGTTGCTTGTTCACACAGATTTCCTTGGAGCAGACACGCACTAAGGATTTTCTGTCAAGTTTCCTTTCTGGGGCATTGCCTCAACATCCATGGGCTTTGTCTCCCTTCGGTGTAGGAGTCTAGCGCGGCGTAGAGAGAAGGCGCTGTTGATTCCTTGTACAAGGTGTGGAAATCCGTTGGAAAAACACCCTGCGTCAGTTTTTAGGAGGAGAGTCTGCGACAAAGTTCAGGTCTCGTGGGTTTATAATTACGTGGAAGCTCCATAAACTAGGAATATTGTGCCCTCACAGCCCGTACATGAACTTAGTACAGTCCATCCCAAGACCCCACTGTAGAAGCCTCAATAATTACCAATATTGTCCCCTTATACTCCCAATATACTTAATCACAATGTAATATACACCCAAATCCTATTCTAAATGAATAGGCCCCGGTAATTGTCCTTCCAGCTTGGGCATGAAGGGCTTTCTTGGAGGAAGCAGCGGTTTAGGGCTCAGGGTGTTTACTGAAGAGTGGACAACAGATGCCATGA